CCTCATTGCCATTCCTAGATACATGTAGGACTACGAGATACACGACTTGTTAAAATCTACCCTACAGCTACGTTAATATAATATATATATATATATATATATATATAATATTATTATATAAACATAAATAAATTGTATAAAAAATGTATAAATAAATATAATTTGAAATATAAAAGAGATTAAATTATTTAATATGATAAAAGAATGTAAAATGTTCAACAATAAAAATTATAACACCTAAGCATGATTATAATATTATACTTTAACTATTTTAATCTCATCATTTCATTGTCCTTTATTAGTGAAAAAAATTGTTTTTAACTTTCATTTATCAAGAGAAAGAATAACAACTTTAAGAATGTGAGATTATTCAAATAATTTATATACATTTTTATGAATATTTCACATTTTTTTTTCACCTTCTTTATAATTTTTACTTTTTCGTGAGATGAGACAAAGATTTATATGTATAAAAACTAAATTTATAGTCATGTGTATGACTTGTGGATAAGTATTGAGTTTTGGAAGTAAATATGATTAATAAAAAATTTAATTACTTTATTGAAAAATATAATTTTTATTTATTGAATTGGGATATGAACTAGATAGGTACTTCTAGACTCTTTATCTTAGTCAAGGTGGGTATGGATGATGTTGCATCAGGTGTGGACAAGATAAAGAGCTCTTTATCTTAATGATGTTAAGCGTTCAGTGAGTGACGCGAGCATGAGTTACATGATCTAAAGTTGTTGTTCAAATTGTTTTAATAGTTGAATGTTGATGAATGACTTGTATGGATGATGCATGATAGAAAACCTATGTGAGGTAAGTTGTGAGTTAATAGAATATAGAGTTGTAAAGCAGCACGTGTTGAGTTGTTTAAAGTTGTCACATTTTTAAGATGTTAGGCATGTGGTTGAGATACATGTCCTATTTAAGATACATAAAAATTAGAAAAAAATAAGTGATGACTTTGAAAATTAAATACCCCATCATACAAATATAAGATGCGGTGCTCCGAGAGTTCAAGTGTTGAAAAACCTTCAGTATGTGAATTGACTGTTGAATGGTAAGTTGTACGTTGTCTCCTCTAAGTTTTATGTGGTATTTGTGTGTGGGCAAGTCAAGGTACACATGTATACAACAACCAGTTGAGTAAAGTACTAAATTAGGGACTTAGTCCCTTACCTAGTATTAGAAGAGCATAATACTAGAAGGGTAGTTAGTAGGCTAATCTCATAGGTGGCTAAGTGATGCAAACTAATGTCATGGTAGACTTATATCCAAACTGTTCTATCCTAATAGTAATACTAAACTTTATAATTTAAGTGGCAAACCTGAGAAATCAAATTGAGTTGTTAGCTGACCTAGTTGAAATAGGTCACACGTTGTGATTCAGTAGGGTCTAGTCACTTAAATTGCTCACCTTATGTTATAGGAGATCTTCATAATTGATATACGTAACGATGTATTAGATGTATTAACTGTGTTGTTGTGTTGAATGTACTGAAGTTGATTATGTTATTATTCTAAGATTGTTACCATGTTGTGAGTTGTTGTATTTTAATGTGGTGGTGTGGTTTATGTGTTAATTGTGTTGTACTGCTAAAAGATACTTAATTTTGATTATATGTTGAATTTTTTCACAAGCTTACCTTGTATTTTTCTTGTGGTGAAAATTATAATGATTATACTTAGCATAAGAGTAGGACATGATTAACAAAATGACTAATGCAATTGGTGGTGAGTCATGCTGAAGATGGCTAGTTTTTGTTGATGGCTACTTTGATGTAGTTAGGTCTTAAATAAACATTGATCGTTGTTGAGGTTTATTTTGCACTTAATACTATATTTTGTATATAACATGTATCTACATGATATTAGTTACCAATAAACCTTAAGTCTAATGTATGTAATTTAGTTTTTGGCTATGCAGTAAGTATAGTTGAAGAGTGTAAGTAACACTCTCTGTAATGCTCTTCCGATC